CTCTTTTCTCGAACAGTAGGTGCGATACCTGTTCTTTTCTTTCTTTCGATCATTTTGTTTTCTTTTTCCGAGTGGTTTGTATCCTATTTTTGTTTTTTGTTTTCTCGCGGCGTCGTATGTGCCGGGTTTTGAGACCACGGGCTCCCCATTTTTTGTGGACTATAGAGCTAATGTGAGAAACAACAACAACAAACAACAACCCGACGCGTCCCTTCCTGGGGGGCGTCTCCCTACCGAATCCTTTTCGGTCGCGAGCCACGCAGCCACATCGACGCTATGACACAGGCCCTCGATGATGACTCGTTTGGTCACGGGCTCGAGAGAACCGTCACCGACCAGCAGCGTATGACAAAGGAGATCCTCCGGGAGCGCCACGAAGCCCGCAACCGGAAACGACAACGTCACAACGCGAGGATTGAACGAGAATCCCCTGGTGCTAAAGCCGACGTCGGAAGCTTGGTACTAGTTAAGGAGCCGAGCGCCACGCTCCACCGCGACAGCCTTCACCCGAAGTTGGCGCATGACCACTACACCGGCCCGTGGAAGGTTATCCATGTAATACGGGAACGCCTGAGCTTTACCGTGCAACTCAATGGGCGACGAGTTCGTCAACGCAAAGTCGAGGCTACTGACATTAAGCCGTACTACCCGCGAGATGAGCACCCCCGACTCCCGTTCGAAGACGAGTACGCACACCTCATGTGGTCGGCCGACTTAGGTCTAGACGACACCTCCGTTTTTGCCGTCCCCCTGTACACGCTCGTGGACAGGCGGGTCGCACACGGTGCTGGAAACACTGCGGCGTGGACATGGGAGTATCAGGGTTGCTTCCAAGACGCGACGTTGTCACCCTGGATGGCTGAAGATGAGGCTAGCGACAGCTTTGCCCCACTGCAGCTCGACGTCTTCCACGCCCTGTATGAAGAGTACCATGGCGCGGACGCCATTCCACGACCTGCTGGCCCGCCGTTGAGGGGCGCCCGTGAGACTGCGTAAAGGCAACATGCCCTGCAACTCTTTCCCACACGCACACGATGGGGAGAGATTTTGTCGACAGCGAAGGTCAATCCAAGGTTTTCGAAGCCACTGTGTTCGACTACTGCGACCCCCACTGGCGGGTAGAGTACCCCGACGGCGATTGGGAGGAATTAACCAAGCGCAAAGTGGACGCGGGTGTTGGCGTTGCCGCCCGCCCTTCATTTTCTGCTTGAGTTTTGACTCCGTGTGTACCACCGTCTTCTGGTCCAAGATCGGGACTCTCCCTTCTAGATAATGTCTTTGCGGACTATCTAGAAAGTGGAGGGTCGGACTCTCCCTTCTAGGTTATGTCTTTGCGGACTAACTAGGAAGGGAGGGTGACTCTCCTTCTAGGCTACGTCTTTGCGGACTGTCTAGAAAAATGGAGAGTCGAACCGTGTTTGGGAACTGGATCGCCCGTCCTTTAGTATAGCCATTTACCACGGTCGATGCTGGGGGGTGTTCCGGCCGGACGTCCCAACCGGTTCTTAATACGACGATGGATACTTCGCTATGGTCGCGAAGTATCCGGAGGGCGCGGGCTGTCATGACCGGGGATTCGAACAGACCTATAATGTTCCCCCGGTCCAGCCTGTTGGGGGGGTTCAGGGCATGTCCCCTGACCCCCGGGATTGACCGCCTCCCTCGGCGTGCTCTCCCGACCAAAACCCAGGTGGTTAGTTGCCACCGCCGATCACGCGAGAGCAACTGAGTCATATCCCTATCTTTGTACCGGACCAACTGCCAACCCTTGTGAGTGCTGAACCTGATACGCTGATTACGGAGCTTGTGAGGAACCTTGTGACTGCTGTTGGACGTCGCCAATCACCGCTTGAAGTCGTACCACCACTGCTTGATTGTTCTGCATGGTCGTTCTCTACAGACATTGCTTATGATCTGTGCTAAGGTGAGAGATATCTATCCTGATTGAAAGAGAGATATAACCTTGCCTGGAAGAGCGGATTCGTCACCTCTACGCCGCGGTTTGTCTCTGTCTGTTATTATTCAATGTTTTTTGACAGACGATGTCAAACACGCAAGGTCGGCGAGGGGTGAGGTGAGGATCATCTCTTTCTGACAAAAGGTTGAATGAGTATTTTACGTATTATCTTAATGTTTGGATTTAGTCTACGCGCCTGTGCGAACAATCAGGGGCGACTTCAGTCTACGACAGACTACAGTACCATTCGTCACAAGCGGGGGGAATACCCATCCCCCCCTGCGAGGAATTTCTAAGCTCGAAATAACTCTTCCTTGGAGGTATTGGAGACGCGTTACCACTACATCCAAAAGGCAAGTCATTTGAGAAAGAAGAGCACAATGAGTTGAACCAGTTCTTCTAGCAAACATACAATAGTCTATATGCAAGGTGTACGGAGAGGGGCGGCGGCCTGGCTGATGACATTCACTTGTTGCCCCTGAGCTTTATCAGGTGGTTTCCGCATTTAGTAAGTCACACGTATCCCAAAATGGCATCAGAATAATATGTTTCTCTGTTTACGAAGGGGGAGCGTACCGTAACCACCTGTTTACGAAAGAGGAGTGCACTCTAGTGTCTTGGCTACAAACCGACGCTCCTTATGCAATGCTCGAAAAACTAACACTCGCCGCTTCTTGATACCATGACGATCTGTATGACAAGTCTTCACGTGCAACCGTTCTACTTGTACATGCGACCGAACATCTCACTAAAAAAACAAATTTTCACTATCGTCGGCATGAGCAGCTCATGGTGGTTTGTCTCGATGAGAAACACCATTGGTGGCACTACTGCCGTCCGTGCCACCCCGAAAATCAGTAACGGCACTTAGACCTGTAGCATCGCCATCTACACTTATTTCTTGACCTTCCTGACATGGGTTGTGGTAACTATAGTGTGCGCTCGATCCTTCCGGAGAGCCCTCCCATGTCAGCTCGTCGTTATCATCGCGCTCGCTCTCCACCCCGTCGACACCACCACCGTGCAGGTTAATCTGAAGCCCACCCGCTACCGTGCCGCTGTATACGTCATCCGAGGACGATGACGAATAGGCATCATCCTTGTCACCTTGCCAGTGACCCTTGACGTCAAAACCATCGTCGACACCACGGTGTCCGCCGACAACGGGACCATTGTTGATGGTGATGTCGCTGCTGATGTATTTGCCAGTGACTCTCCCTTCTTCCTGCGCCGGCCGAGGCAGAGACAAGGATAGGGACTCGTCCTCTTCATCACAACAGAAATCGTCCTCGTACGGGTCGTCGCTGCCTTCCCTCTGCACCGTCGTTGTGTCAGTGCCGGCCTCCTCCTCGCTCTCTTGAGTACGATCCAAGCTTATTCGAGAGCCGGCCATTGGAGGCCGACTACTTGGCGAAAGAAAGCTTCGATCGAAGCTGCTATTGCCACCGCCGTTGCTAAGGCCCCCATGGTGGACGTTGTTGTTGAATTCCCCATCGATTCGCTCATCTCCGCCATCAAATAGCTTTGGCTCTGCCGGTGACGCCGTTGCTTCCGCCGTTGCCCCTTCACGACCAGGAGACCCCAGCAAATCGTCCCTTGGTTCTGTGCTAGTCTCGTCGCCCGACGAGTATTCCGCCGCTCCGCAACTTTCTGTTGCCGCAGAGAACGCAGGAAATGATTTAGGTAGTTGTTGTCGGTGTTGTTGTATTCGTCTAATGTTCCCACTTGTACGTCCTTCCTCCTCCTCGTCGTCGTCTCCGCTTCTGCTACCACGGCCGTTCACCGGCTGGCCGCTACAGATGAGTTGGTCTTCGATGTGACTGGCGCCGTGCTGCTGCTCGTCCACGATGCCGCTATCCATGAGTAGATCTCCTCTCAGGTATTTCCCTTCTCGTTCCTCTGTCGGGTATCTGGACACATCATCAGAGCAGTAGGTCGTCCCCGATCGTTTCGATTGCAACAAAGAGCGTTGTTCCTGGCTAGTCGGACCCCTGACTTCACCATTCCCCCGCTGCCCGCCCAAATATACGTCGCCGGCTTCTCCCCCAACCTCTTTGCTCCCTAGCCTTCTTATTTCGTGGACGATGCGTGCGCTCCTGTCATCACTGCTTGGGGTAAGGGTTTCGCTCTGATAGTCGGTATCGTTGTTCCCTTCGAAAGAAACGTAGGCCTCCTTCAAAAGACCGTTGGCGATGTCAACGGCGACGTTGTCAGCCAAGAGAAGTGCCATCGCCCTCGACAGGCTGTAGCAAGTCCGTTGTCGGTATTGCTCACGGTCTTGGTCTTTCCCTTTTAGGTAGAGTGAGTCTGCTTGTTTCCCACCAATCTCGCCCCCTTCTCCTTGCTCTTCTGTTGCTTGTCTTCGTGGGTTCTCAAGTAGGACGGAGGCCGTATCAAAGAAAAGCAGAACCGAGTACCTCCCCTCTTCGCTTAGCTGAGGTGGCACCGTCACCGGTTGGTGCACGCAGAGCACGTTGGTCAAGCCATCCCGCTGTTCCCCCATCGTCATCCACAGCGTGCAACCCTAGAGCCATGATGTAGCAATTCCAAGCATGTTTGGCGGGAAATGAGGGCATGAAAGGAGATTGCAGGGAACATGGATGGAGAGGGAGGGAAGGGGAGTGGCAGGGGTCCCCTTTAAGCAGAGGGGAAGATGAGTGAATGCGGAGTTACACACGGATCTAATGTTGCTCTACAATCCCGAAAAAAGTTATGGAAAACAGCGATAAAAAGGCGGCCCGAAAGCCGTGGTTCTGAATTTGGGGACGCCATCGTTGTCTAGCGAGTGTCCGACAAAACTCACCTGTCCAAGTTCCAAGCTCCGCTTCAGCTCTCCTGCTTCCTCGCCTTCGTCATCCTCCTCGTTACCTCCTACCTCGAACAAGAAGCCGACCTCCTGCCCGACGACATCGAAAGCGTCAACGCCAGCCAGCTTCTCAAACCCCTCGCTCGCCCACACAACTTTGCCCGCCGCCGCCGTTGTCGTCGAGGCTTGAATGTCATCCTCTCCATTTTCTCTCGCCAGGCTCAGGACGGCGCCGTATGGCAACGATCCGAGAGTGCGTTCGAAGAGTGTCCGCCAGGGACGTCTCGATCTGCAGCCAAGTTGGTCATGACGCAGGAAACATTTCTTACATTGCAAACACCCAGAAATAGATCCTCACTCCAGGCAACGCCACAATTCTCTACCCGTAACTTTGGATTCTGAATCCTGTTCCATGGTCGTGCCACGAACACTTGTTACCGCGATGATTCGATATCAGGTATGTGTGCTAACCATGGACTTTTGCCGCGCAAATGCCATCTAGTAAAACAGATTTCGCATAACGCAAAACGACTCTCCACTGGAATGGCGGTGTATTGACTTCGCCGCACGCACGAGGAACATGAATCTGCAGGGTGATGGGTAAACTGGCGGACGAGGATTAATTTTGGTCTTGCTCAGACTTTCATCAGAGGATCTTTGTCGCGATCACATGTGGAGGTTGACCCAGCACGTCGGGCCACACGGTTCGCGGATAAGTCCCCACATTAGAGTTGTGAATCGGAACGATGTACACGATATATATCGTCCGATATATATCGATANNGCTCGCCCGATATTTTCTCCGATATATCGCCGTAGGCGATATATCGGAGAAAATATCGTTATATCGGCTGCTGCGCAGCCGATGTAAAATATATCGTTTTTTCGTACCGATTCACAACTCTACCCCACATGTATATGACTCGCCTTGCGACGGCGACTTCTTCCGCGGCGGTTTTCCCTCCCATAGCCTTCCGTCCGGTCTTACTGTTCCGCAACAAGCACCGTGTTGAGGGCGACGCCAAGAAAGGGGCCAGGATGGACGACTGAGCCACCGCTACGGCCGCAGCTTTCGCTTGTGCTGAGCCCCAAGAAGACACCCTGTATGCGCCGGGCGCAGCGAAGGAGCGCGGAATTTCCCAATGAGGAAATCGACGACACTATACATTGTTTTCAGCAACCACGCTAGAGGGGCAACCAGCGAGTGTTGCCGTGGCTACTTCTGATGGAGATATGCTGGGTGCTTAGTGCAATGGTTCTTCGCCTAAATGACATAGGCGACGTATAGGTGTTCGATCAAGTTCCGCCTGACCACGTGTCGCCATCTGCATGTTGGTAAGCTGGGTGGCATCTGTGAAGAAACTATCGTCGGTCACAGAGTGCTCACGTTCTAGTGACAGGCAAAAATTGGGATAAAAAGCGAAAACCATCGCGAATGAGCGTTGTGACCATACCACCCGTCAAAAGTCCGTAGCATAAAGTCAATACTCGATCCCCGCACAACGAAAGGGTTTTCGTCGGTTGGCAACGACGTTGTAAAACAAGCCNGTTTTTTTTTTACCTCCGGTTTTTTTTTTGGCGGTAACCATAATGGTGGTCGAGTAGATCATGTTGTGCGGGGTGGAGAACCCTCACTCCGCGCAAGGGGGATGATCGCACCACGTTGTGTTAAAATGGTCAAGCACCCTCGAGGCAGTTACACAGTGCTTACAACTGTCTCCGGAAGTGAAGCACCAGAAATTAT